TTCCGGCCCCAATAGCCGTTCATACTATCGTGCTACAGTGGTGAGTCAAAACTGCTTATTGGCGAACACGAAATCAGATCATGTGAAGGTGTTCAGCAAGGTGATCCCCTAGCTCCTCTTCTTTTCTGTTTAGTCTTAAAAAAAATCACAGAAAGCCTGTCCAGCGAGTTCAACATCTGGTTTTTGGATGATGACACTATAGCTGGCACCCCAGACCACCTCTTGGAAGACATCAGAAAAATAAGGGAGCAAGAAGTAAGCCTGGGTCTCTTCTTGAACCCTTCCAAGTGTGAAGTAGTCTCCTCCAACCCAGACATCGTAACTGGAATAAGGTCTGCTCTGCCTGGAGCCCATGTCATTAGGGCTGAGAACAGCACCCTCCTTGGAGCCCCCCTCGGGTCAAACGCCATTGAAGAGATCCTTGATAAGAAAGTCACAGACCTCAGGAGGATGGAAGACAGAATAGGTGACATCGATGCCCACGATGCTTTATATCTCTTCAATAAATGCCTATCCTTTCCAAGGCTAACGTACTTTCAGAGGTGCTCCCCATCTTACGACAGCCGAAAGCTTGAAGAGTATGACCTCTTACTGATGACCATGCTAGAAAAAGTTGTTAACCTCTCCCTCAACGAATGCCAATGGAAACAAGCCACTCTTCCTGTCAGGCTCAGCGGCTTGGGTGTCCGCACTGCCACCCAAATTGCTCTACCAGCCTTCCTGTCTTCTTCCTCAGCATCAGATGACCTGGTTAAGGAAATCCTACCGGACAACCAGTGTGACTTAGCAGGGATAGACGTCTCCCACTACAAGGAATGCGACACGAAATTGGGTATCATGGAAGACCCAGCACTCAAACCAGCCATGCCGAAAGCCAAGAAACAATCCAGTTGGGACAGCCCCATTGTAGACAAAGAAGACACAGCTTTGCTGGAGACAGCAAGAACCCCCAGTAATCGTGCAAACCTCTCAGCTGTGCAGGCTCCCCATGCAGGGGACTTTCTTTTGGCAGTCCCTGTGTCTGCGACAGGCACACGTCTTGATCCGCAGGAGCTCCGTATTGCAGTCGCTCTCTGCCTTGCTGCCCCTATCCACACTGTTCATAGGTGTATTTGTGGCGAGGTAGATGCTGACGAATATGGATTGCATGGCCTGCACTGTGGAAATTCTGGCGGTTGGCACTCTAGACACGACGAAGTCAATGACATCATTAAGAGAAGCCTTGCCTCTGCCCCGTGTCCAGCAGAGAGAGAGCCCCGCAATCTATTGAACCGTGATTCTGTTAGCTTTGCTGGCCGACCAGATGGAATCACACTGCGCCCTTGGAAGGTTGGCAGACAGTTGGTGTTGGAAATTATCGAACACTAATACATCCTTATTGTATTAACTATAGTAATTACTAATCTTACTAATTTGTAGAATTAATCCAATTAATGTTTCTATTGTGTCTCAGTATTTTACCAACTCAGTCTCCATGATGCCGGGAGGTAGCAGCAAGTTGAAACATGAAATATATCCACATTTAGTTGAATTTAAACCAGAGTCCAGTTGATTACTTTCCTTTACTAAAGATAATAGTTTATTTAGTTGTTTTATTTATATAGCAAATTATTGCTTACTGAACTCGCTTATTTAGGTGAATTAACAACTCCAGTGGAAAATATTGCAATGTAAAATAATTTTATATAATATTCCTCTCGTTCATTTTAAGCAGTCTTAATAAGCTGACTTGCATTATGCAAAAATATATTGAACCTTTAAACTTTTATCAGTGGCATAAACACTTATCATAATTCTTTACTTCCCTAATTAACTACAAGTAAATAAAATACTTTACGCTCGAAATTACTTAGAAACGTTCTGCGCATGCGTGTCCGAGCTAGAGGGAAGAGGAAAAGAGACGCTTGACCACCAATGTGATCAGGGAGACTCCATCGAGAGTCGGCCATCTTACCGATCAGGGTAACACGGAGCACGTAATTTACGGACCATACAGAGGACCTTACCGGCCATATACTGCAGGTATGGTGACGACATTTTTACACAGGTACCTGATGTCAGACATCTGCAGGAGCTGAAGGAGGCATTTGAGCGGAATTCTGTGTTGCGTTTCACTTACGAGATGGAGAAGGATGGGAAGCTGCCCTTTCTAGATGTAACAGTCATGGAAAGGAGCGGAGGTTTCCACACTGCAGTCTACACTAAGCAAACAAACATAGGAATGTGCCTGAATGCCAACAGTGACTGCCCAGACAGCTACAAGAGGAGTGTTGTTAACGCTTATGTCGACCGGTCTCCCAGCCACAGCTCAGGATGGAAGCAAGTTGATGAAGAACTCTGTAGGGTAAGGCAGGTCCTAGTCAACAACGGCTTCTCCAATGGTTTCGTTGAAGACATCATAAGTAGGAAGGTGAAACGCCATGCAACCTCTGAAGAGACAACTAACGCAACACCTGTACCCCCTATTAGACTATTTTACAGGAACTTCTTTTCCACAGCTCATAAAACGGAGGAAAGGGTCCTGAAAGATATTGTTAATAGAAACGTTATCCCTACAGACAAAAATCAGAAGATACAATTGACGATTTACTATAAAACCAAGAAAACTGCCAACCTACTCATGAGAAACTCTCCAGACACAAAGCAGAACGATTTAAAAGAGACCAATGTCGTCTATGTCTTCAAATGCCCACTTGGGGACTGTAAGCCTCAAAGAATTCAGTATATAGGCAAGACAATAACATCTCTTTCCAGGCGATTAACGATGCATAAGCAACAGGGCTCCATTAAGGAACATATAATCTCTTCCCACAATCAGACCATCACCAGAGAAGTCTTAACAAAAAACACGGAAATCATCGACAGATACAGCGATAGCAGGCGGCTTGATATCTGCGAGGCACTACACATTAAGAAGTCGACACCAGCAATCAATAGCCAATTAATGCACAACTATATTCTACCCACTTCAAGACTCTGCACCAATATAGAAGCATCAAGAAATATGGGCCAATAGGCCCTTTGCAGTTACTTCCATTCTTCCCTTTAACTTACAAAATATTATACCCATTGTTTCGTGTTCTGTCTAGTGTTGAAAGTTTGTTTTCACCTCATCCAAAACTGTTGTAACATATCACCTCACCCAAATGCAGGTATAAAATCAATGCTGTTTAAACTCTGTTTAGTGTTTGCAAGTTATAGTTGTGTGTGTGTGTAAACTAAAGTCTTTGAAAATGTAATAAATTATTATGAAACGCGTTCAAGTGTCGCATCGGGCTAGAAATAAAAATGAATTTTGGAGAATTGATTTTTCAATTACCATCAACAGTGAAAAGAAATATATGAAATATTGAGAAAATTCGTGTTAAAATTATTAATCTTACTTTTTCGGTCATATTTAATATAATTATATATATATATATATTATATATATATATATATTTTGTGACGGAAAAGTGAAGGAGTGTAGATATTCGGCAGTCCTCCTATTGGCTGGTGTCAATGCCTATCACATTTGAGATAAAAAAGATCGACTGCTTGGCTGTTGTCTGTGGTAAAGTAAAGGAATACACCCAAAACACATAGTATGAATAATGAAAGTTTAATTAAATTGAAAGCAAATTAAAAACAAAGACAATTCCTTGGCTATGTACAGTGCAAGCAAACAAGTCAAAAAATATGAACATAAAAATTAAGAACAGGGATGACGTTATTCGATAATATAAAGACAAAATGAAATAAGCAGGTGCTGAGAATAAAGCGCTAGCTGAGAAGCATCCACCTGATAGACAGAGCGTATATCAGTTGTTCACAACTTGAGAGCACACGATATTCTAACTTCAATGACTGGTTCAAGCCCAGACATCGACTAAGTAGAGGGCGCTGAGGTGCAGAGGTACAGGTGTGCAGTCGGCGGGTCACCAATCAGAAGCAGGCAGGCTGGGAATGGTAGTTTGCTGGTTGATGACGGGGCCGGCATGGAGGGAGTGTGGAGTAGGGGGGAGTTTAGGGTATGTTTGCCTCCTAGTCAAAACGTTTTGTGCTACTGGTAGATGTATCTTGAAGGTATCATCTTATTGTTGTATATATATAAGTAACTTTATGTAGCGAAGAGCAGGTCAATCTCTCTTGAAAGAGATTATCGTCACAACTCTCCCCCGAAGCCTGCTCTAATGGGTGAAGTTACGTCTTCAGATGGTAGAGTGGTAGGTGTAGCTGCCTCTACCTCATAGTCTCTGGAGAGGGCGTCTACTATGATGTTGTCAGAACCCTTGATGTAGAAGATCTCCAGGTTGAAATTCTGCAGATACAAAGTCCATCGGAGAAGTCGTTGATTGTTGAATTGGGCTTGCTGCAGGAAGCGTAGGGGATTGTGGTCCGAGTAGATGGTTGTAGACCGAGCACCTTGTAGGTACGATGCAAAGTGCTGTAAGTTCTGGACGATGGAGAGTAGCTCCTTTTCGATAGTGCTGTAATTCTTCTGGTGAGGTTTTAACTTGTAGCTGTAGTAGCTAACAGGTAGAACTTCCTCGCCTCGTTGTTGCATCAGGACGCCCCCTATGCCGGTACTACTGGCGTCGACATGGAGGATGAAAAGCTTCGTGATATCTGGCGAGGCGAGAATAGGATTAGAACAGAGCAGGGATTTAAGTTGTTCAAAAGCAATGGTTTGCTGCATGGTCCAATGATACCGTTGCTTGGGGCTGGTTAAAGTGATCAATGGTGTCGCTACCTTACTAAAATTCTTTACAAACCTACGGTAGTAGGAGGCAAGACCATGGAAGCACAGGAGCTGCTTCCTGGTGGTAGGCTGTGGGTAATGCTGGATGGCTTGGGTATGTATGTTTAACGGAGCTATGCTGCCACTCCCTATCTCATGACCAAGATAACGCACTTTACCTTTAGCAAAGGTGGACATGCCCAAGTTGATGGTGAGGCCGGCTGTCAGGAGCTTGGCGAACAATCGTTGCAGCTGGAGCAGATGTTCGTTCCAGGTGTTG